TATATATATATATATATAAAATAAGAAAATATACATTTTCTTAAAACTTTAGCTTCTCACCAAAATAATTGTTTATTTAAATAAAAGAATTTAGATTTAAGTAAATATGTTATTAGAGTATCCATCGCGAATATTTTTTTATTTTTTGAATATTTTTCTCTCAGAGTGTGTAGCGGTGGAAATTGTTAGTAGAGTTTTTCTTGTAAGGAAAAACAATGAATTTTCCTAAGGAACAAATTTTAAAGTAACAGAAATTTTGAAATAATATATTTTTGCGAAGAACATGAACAGTAAATAGTCAATTTTGGGGGACATGATAAATTTTTTAGCAGATCTCAGTTTCTAATAATAATAATAAAAAATAATAATAATAATAAAAAGTAGCGCATATGAAACAAAAAAGTAATCAGTTAAAACAGAATGTCGATGTGTTTCTCGATTCTGCAAAATTATGTAGCAATTTTACTACAAATTCTTTTCACTTATAGATTCTCTTTTCGTCGTGACATACCACTAAGATATTCTTTCTCGTTTGTGTAGTCTCTCTTGCATTTTGACGACAACGTAACTATCTCCTTCAGTCGTTGAACAAAGATCAATTCTATATACACATGCTTTTCAAAGTGCATTACTAAATTTAAATCAAATATTTTTAAGCATATAACATCTTAACATAGAATTTTTAATATTAACATAATTAATCCCTCTAATTAAACCTAAATTATTCAGTTAAATACACTTTAAATACTTTAAATTTAAATATTTGCGTTAAACTTTTACTTGCCTAAAAATATGTTTGATTTAAGTTGAACAAAGACCAGTCTAATCACCTACTACTGCTGAATACCCAAAATACTTGTTAGCAATACTTGTTAATCTCAATGCCAAGATTAAATGCGATGATTAAACACCGTTAGCTTTGTAAAAAATGCAGAATCTACCGAGCGACCTTCCGATCATATAGGCAGAAATCCGGAATCTTCTGAAGAGTATAATCGTATAATACATTGCGATTATTTGCATACGAATACTAATAAGTACATACATATATAAGACGGCTTTATTTCAGCAACCGTACACGGAAAGAATATTATATAGCTTCATATATCAATTCTTTTCAATTATACTAGTTTTTGTGCTAGTTCAATTGTACTATTTTTCAATAGTGCAGAAGTAGACTTTCAACAACATTTATCTAGTCGAGGAACTTATAGTTAATTTTTGTGTGCAAATAATAGGTTTTACCTCCCAGACTAATAACATATAAATAATATATAAAATAGGCACTAAATTAAAACAGAATATCGACGTATTTCTCAGTTTCAAAATTCTATAACTATAATAAATTTTACTCGAAAATTCTCTCCGCGCGTGTACGATCACCGTTCTAAAATAACTCGTGCTCATCTCAGCGAGCGATTAATAAGAAAATTGATAAAAAGACTTATCAATCATCATAAAACAAAGATCAATGCTCATGAAATATGATTATGTTAACTATCTTTTATACACTATCATGAAATACGAGTATAATTTTTTACACACAACACACACACATATACACCTAAATAGATATGAACACTTTCATACAATATAAATTGTGCGTCTCGTGAAAGTGATACTTACATCGAGAAGAGAGACTGACGACAAGACTTCTTTCATTGCAGAACGAGTCTGCGGAGAATCGCCCGGCACGACGAGCCGGAGTTCAGCAACGCTAGCATCCTGAACAGCATGGAGAAGTTCGTGCGCACAGTGAGCGAGATGGAGGACACTATTCTCGTGCCGAGCCGCCTGCTAGACCTGTCAGTAGGCGACGCGGGTGACACGGTCTGCATGAAGGGCAAGCGCGGTCACACGGTGAAGGACGCGCTGGCCAACACTGACCTATACCGCCTCTACAACATTATCAATCAGATGAAGACCGAGCTGCTGTGGTCGCAGGAGCCGGCTCGGAGCGCCGACATAGAGGCGGACCAGAACATCCTCAAGAACAGCAGCACCTGTAGCAATGGCAGTCATCCCGTGGGTAGCCCAACCGAGCTGATGGCCCAACACCATCCGGCAACTATGGGCAGACTGGGGCATGCTCGTTGCCCTAGTACGACATCAATGCAGAGCGTCCAGAGCGCCTCTTCGATCGTTTCCACCTCGGACTCGGACTCTGAGGTCGGTATCGAGATCGATTCCGGCTTAGAGGGCGAAGAGTGCGCCACGGACCTTGCGAGCATCGCCGCTGAGAACTTCAGACGTCACCTGCGCGGCCTTCACCGCAGCATCGCCCGCATGACCGAGGCCGCCGAGTACCTGACGCTACGGTATCAGGCTGACGTGGGTGGGCAGGTCTGATTCGCCGCCACTACCATCACCACCATCATCATTACCACTACTACTACTCTCATCATCATCATCATCGCTGTCATCACCGCCGTCGGCGCCGTCGTCGCGTCAGTTGGCATCCTTGCGAGCGACTTTCACGTAAGCAACGCCCTCGTCTCGTCGCCGATCTCATGGACACTTCCGCGATCACCTATGATAGTTCACGGTCGCCCGTTGACTTCATAGGTTCTCTTGGCGGAGACGAGCGTTCGCTTCGAATACAGAGGTCGCTGAGTTCCTGCGGATTCCAGGAGCGACCTGCTGGGTTTTTTCCAGGGAGCTGCTTATACTGTGTCCTGACGCGAAATTATGTTGAGTTATGTGTATCTTTGAAACGTAGGCGTAAGAGACGATAAATCGTCGCGCGGGTTACGGATCATCATGATATCGTTGGAATTCTTCATTATCAACTAATGCCGTAAGAGATGAGGTATCTTGATGTTTTTACCGTATATTACGAAGAAAAGTAACATCTGGTGCTCCAGTCGTCCTCCTGATGGGTTTCCCCGAGCGATCGAGGACTGATTCGACGAAACGCATAGAGTCAAGGACGAGTACGATTGCACGCGGTTACGTAAACCGCTGTTTCTTACGCGTGGTCGGCATACCGCGACCCTGCTATCGAGTTGAGGGTACATGCATTGATCAGGAGGCGCGTGTGAAACGATAATACGGCGACACGCGCGGTCGAGTGACGCGCGCGAGTTACTCTAGTTTGGAGGACACTTATTCGCGTCACATCCTACATTGCATTTGCTCGTGTAGTTTCTTTTCGATGGGGCACAATTGCCTCACACTTCATGTCAATGTTTTCCCCTTATCTCTGAAAATCATAACTTGAAAACAGCTATTTGAATTTTTGCTCGCACAGCCATTTGGATTTTTCCGCAAGATTACGGAAAACGCTTCTTGGAAATAAAGATTTTCTATCTCGTATTCTACGGAAAATCTCTTCTCGATACAGAGACGTTTGGTCGTTTGAAATATAACATGTATGTATTTTACATACTCTTGTGTGGATGCGTATTATATCACAATTATCAGATATCCAGGTTAAAACAAAGATAAGTTAATATTTATATTTAAAAAAGTACGACAAAGACAAATATCTGATATTAAAATTTACTTGCTTTTCGGATTCGCGTTGATTTAATGGGTATATGTACACGCGTATATCATGGTTCTTTCTATTGGGTTGGAAACTCTTATAAATACATATATAAATATACAGGGTAGGGCATTTAAGACCTGAATAACTTGTAAACTATGTGTATGAAAAATTATTACACGAAATTACACGAAAAATTATTACATACAAAAGTTGCATGGTCTCGAGATTAGATTATTAGATAATATATGTATTTTTATGGATGGAGATGTTCGGAGATTTGAAGGTTAACTTTGATTTTTATATACGGAATCCTAATCGTTTTATACAAGTGGATTTCTTGTAACATTCTGCGTAAAAAATTACAAAATATTACAAAGAATTTACATAAAACAATTAGAGTATAATCTCATATAAAAAAATAAAAGTTGATCTTCAAATTTCCGCCTTCACTTATAAAAAAAAAAACATGTAAACTTTTGTGTGTAACTTCTAAACTTTTGTAACGATTTTTTTATATAACACAGTTATTCAGACGGTCTGTTTAAGTGCCTCACTCTGGGTATATATATATATATATATATATATATATATATATATATATATATATGTGTGTATATATGTATGCAGGTCCTTTGCTGTAAATAAGATTAGAAAAGACGTTATATTTCGACACCGAGGTTATACAAAATAAAAAGAAAGAAACAGATGTTTGAGTGTTTGGATATTTTTAAGAACCATTTGTAAATCGCAGAGAGAGAGAGAGAGAGAGAGAGAGAGAGAGAGAGAGAGAGAGAGAGATGTACGAGTCTAGACGCGCTGAGAGAAATAGTTTGTGTAAATATCATTGCTCGATGTTGTTTTACGATAAGAAACGTTTACCTACTGCAAAAATGTAAGTCGTTCCCATTAGACTTATATGAGTAACGTGAATAACGATAACAATTCTATATTACTGTAAATACCGCTACGTCGAGAGGAGTGTGCATTTTGAGTGTGCCGACTGAGTGAAACCGTACAAAGCTGTGCGTTGCAATCTGTTCGCGGCCACTCGCAAGAGAGAGGCTGTCAACGTTGTCGAGAGGCGCTATCAAAGAATGACCAGATCTCCGCTTTCCTTTCGAAGCGAGGCGAACGTCTGAAGAAGAAGTCGTTCCACACGAATCGTTCCCGACGCCGCGTTGTCGGCGATCGACACATTAGCGTGTAAATATAAATGTACGCGTAGCGCTACGATTATTTATTCCCACGCGGCTGTAGAGTCGATGAAATGTTAAGCGATTTAATCTAAGTTGTGCGCGAGTTCTTCTGTCACGCCGGGTGTACAGTCAGCGGCAGGAAAGTCGCGACGTTTCCATCTCGATGAACTTCAACACGACGCAACTGGTATTTAATGGCAACGTCCACTGAGAATTGCTACACGGAGAAAACTCGATTCGTGCAACTGTGTTTCACCTCGTTCGCCCGCGTGAATTGAGTCCTGTTTTTTTCCGTGTAAAGAACAGATTCTCCCATTGGATACGGGATGCGTTACGGCACTCGTTGAGATAAAACTGTGGCAATCTTTTGTTCACCGACTATACACGTTGTACACGTTTCTTCGCACGCGCGGAGAGATGGAAGGTGGACCGAAAACGGCACTTAAAAGCCCGGCCATGGCCTTCCAGCTCTTCCGGCTTGGTTTCGCGAGCGGAGAAGTTCCTCCGGTTTTCGGAAATACGAGCGTGTGACTTTCACTTAAAATTTAAGGTTTTCGTTTAATGTGTACATATAGCCGGTGAGATGCTTTCCCAATGCGCCGTTAGACGATCCTCGTCCATGGATCCGGCACGTCGGACTTGTATAGTGTACGCAGTTGAAGATTTCTTAAAGGATGTAGAAATTCTAGGAAAAGGCGAAAGAACAAAAAAGAAAAAAAAATAACGGCAGCACAGGCAGAGGAATACTGTTATTGTTATAAGTATGAAATTGTAATTATAAATTATCCTAATGATCACAGCAAGAACAAAATTATTTATTGCCTTAAATAGTATGCGGCGATAACTCTCATTTTTAATAAATGGTATCGTTATTGGAAATACGCGTTTCTTCTCCTGTATGCCTGGTCTATACGTTCACGCGCGAGTGCATTTATACGATTGTTCATACGATTGTTCATACGTAACCCTGGTATAGTTACAACATTGGTGATTGTCACACTGGCTTAACGTTGTTCATGTTCACGTAGAGTACGTGCTGTGTTAATAAATCGGTTTCACGTTATCGTGTAAACGCATACTGACGTGCGTTTTTATCCGTCGAATATCGTTTCCCCCCCGCGAAACAAATGGCCACGCATTTTCGTTTTGTCTCTCTTCTTTCCGTTGTTTGTATCACACTCTCTTGAGGAGATGCCTTAACATAAATAAAATAATCGTAATGTGTACAGTGCCTACTGAAAAATATATTTTGTCGCACTCGTAGCTACCGCAGAAATTATGTAAAAGTATCAAACGAGCGAGACGAGTCGATCACAACGTCGATAAATCCACTAAACGATGAATAGAATCCGCAGCACGACTCCTAAAGCTTCGCCCAAAGTCGTAATGTCTCATAGACAGCGCAAGCTTCTAACAGATGTGTTTTAATATTTTGGGTCTCGGCTTGAGGATACAGCATGTAATAGTTGCAAATAAAAATATTTCAATTGCTCTATATATTTACGTGGTTTAAATACGTGGTTTATTTACGTAGTTCTTGCTGCTTACAGCTTTCGTTTCAATGAAAGTTCACTTATTATAAACAAAGAGAAGTAACTGAATTTTCACAAATGTTCCATTTCTTCGTAATAAAACTTTGTAACTTTTTCCTGTCGAAAACACATCACAAATCGAACTTTTGGAACATTACCTACATCTATCTGATATCCCTTTATTAAAATAACATTAAATTTGCGGAGTGAAAAATCAGGACGCGAAGGGTTAGATATGTTCTACTTATTTTAGACTCTAAGCCGTCAGTCAATAATCATTACTTAAGACTTGTTGCATGAAACATTCAACTTTGAATTTCTAGTTGGATCAGAGTTTCTCAGTTGAACATACTATATATGTGACATTGTATCAAGAACTTCGATTTAACTGAAAAACACGTCTAATTCTAAACTCAAATCCGAGTATCTCAGAGATATTCATCCGAATATCTTGAGTCTCTGGTAATGACTATTCATATGGGTCTAGAATCTGTATTAATAGTTATCATTCGGGACTTGTCTCACGTAAGATTCTTAAATTTATATTCTGAATTAGATCTAAGATTTTTCAGTTGAATTGAAATATGCGTGATATTTATATCTGTAGTCGCGATTTAACTAGAAAAACTTTCATCTGACTCTGAGTTCATATCTGAGTGTCTCACTTGAGACGAGTTTGAAGTAATAATTATTAATACAGGTCTAAGATACCTTTTCGAAGTATGCACTGTTTGAGCCGCTTTTGTACTTCCCGTATCTTCTTGTTTTTTTTATCAATGGTGAGCGGCGAACGGAAGCGCCTGAATTCTGCTTGGTGATCATACGACTGACTCGTTCGAACGATTTATCCGTTAAGAATGATTTCACGTTCATTCCGTCACGAAAGTCGTGTGTAATTTTCTTATTCTCTCGTAAAATATATTATCTAGCGAGCTCTCGGAAACTCGATTGGCGCTGGAACATGTCATCATGAGCGAAATTGGACGTGGTGGTCTAGCGGAGCGAGGCGCTAATCATCGTGTGATTAGAGACTTGTTGATTTACGATCGACCTGCATTTTTAAATTTAGCGGAGACGTAAAGGCAAGTGTGCAATTATTCGCAAATCTCGTTAGTCATTTACTGAACGTGTTTTGGTTTTGCCAGCAACGATGTCGCGGCTCAATGAAGAAGGAAGAATGGAAAAAAGCGTAGAGATAACGGTCAATCCTACAAGGAAAATGGGGGTTTCCGCCTTCGCGCGAGTTACGATTATCGTGCGCGAATCATAAATCGGTGCGTAAGTATTTCGTGTGACATAAGTGTAGTATGTAAAAACGCGTCATGTCGCGGTAACAATCTGTCCTTTGCGAGCGCAATTGCGGTCGTTATCGAAAGATCGACGACGTTAACGGAACATCCCTTGTGTAATTGTACTCTGAGTTTGAACTGCCATAGCCTTACTATTCATATCGTCTTCTTCCAGCCCGAAACCAGGAGTGTCACAGCAGCAGTAGCCTCCATCACGTCTATTCCACTTTCCATTTGTGGCTTCCGTTTCCACCTTTTTCCTAAAGGATGTTAGGTACTTTTCCCAGCTCCATCACTCTTCAGGACAAATTTCACAAGGTTCGCTCCAATCTAGGTGATGTCCACACGACTCCGATGATCTGAATTTCTCTCCGCCCTCTCCCTTGTCGTCCCTAGTTTTTCTGGAATCTTCACTGTCATCATCATCGTCACGGAAGCTCCTTTATCAGATCTTCCAACCTCCTTACAAAAAAAGATTGTTACTTCTTTTTCATCCAGCTCTGTTATTTTACGGACTGTAAATTCGCTAATTTAAAATGTTGTAAAATTACTAATGAATTATTAATGAAAATTAAACAAAATAGTTCGAAAAATTAATATGAAAAAACCCAAAAATAGTGTATAAAATATTTACTATCAGGAAATCGGAGACAATAATAGAAGAAAATCTAAAAAGGAACGAAAAATGTTGTATAATATTTAAGAAATTAGAAAAAATTATGATAATATTTTAAGAAATATTAGAAAATATGAAAAATTTCACATAATTTTTCATGCGATCATTGTGAGAAATTATGAGATTTTTTATTTTATACTTTCATGTAAATGTGTGAGAAAATATTAGAAAATTTGGAGAATTTCTCATAATTTCACATAATTACTTATAAATTGTTGATATGAGAAATTGTATGAAAAATTATGAGAAAAGTTTTTACCAGGTACTAACAGTCTGACAGACTAAGAGCCTGAACACAGACTTTTGCATAACGCATAATGCATAACACATAAGGAAATAAATCAATCAGAGTTATTAATTTCTATCCTGGAGAGGGAAATAAAGGTCTCTGATTGGTTGATTCCCTTATGCATTATGCGTTATGCAAAAGTTTGTGCTTAGGCTCTTATAGCGAATTCGGTTACTTGCACTAGTGTGCACTGAGTGCGCACTAAGGCTTGTTCATAGTATGTTATTATATTTAAAAATTGTCTTAAATAATTCTCAAATAAATTCTCAAATATTTTTAACCATAATATGATATGTATAACATCCGTACGAATCATTTTATTAGTTAAAATGTTTTTAAATATGTATTTAAGACACGATCTTAAATATAAGAATGTACTGTAAACAAGCCTTAATGCGCACTCAGTGCGCACTAGTGCAAGCTACCGAATTCGCTATAAGTTTTACAGACTAAGGTCCGGTTGTATCAACGTTATTTTAGTTTTAAATGAGACTAATATATGTATGTCTTTATTTATTTAGAAAGAAAGATAAAGATAGATACATGTTTAAGTTTCGCTTAAAGCCAAAATAATGTTGGTGCAACCGGACCTAATGGCTCCTGCACACAGGACGCGGTAATGCTTGCCGCGCGGCGGAAGTTAGCGTAACCAAGCAATATGGTGCTTTCCGTAATAAGCCTCTAGCTCTTACGGAAAAACAATATATTGATTGGCTGTCGCGCGGCAAGCATTACCGCGTCCTGTGTGCAGGAGCCATAAAGCATCTTCTACAATGGCCGCGTTCAGGAAACATAGCTGATCAGTGAGCGGTCAGTGATTATTGGTCCTTACTGTTAGATCCCTAACTTTAAACCAATTATATTGACTAATTGCTCAACCGTTGTGCAACAGTTGTGTCTTCTGAACGCACCCAATGGCAGTAGGAGTAGTAGTAAGAAATAAGCAGTAAGCAAATTGACCAATTCCATTCTCACGTTTCAAAAATAATCGATTGTGATTGGTCTATTTACTTACTGCTTATTTCTTACTACTACTCCTACTGCCATTGTAGAAGACGCTT